AGATCATTAAAACTATTTTTCACCTGCTGCTGAAACAAAAACAGAAAAACAGGATTTTTCTCCTCGAAACACGAATCTTCCTGCTTTTTGTTTTGTTTTTTACTAGAAACCTAAAATGTAACAAACTGTTTAAATAATCAGCAGGTTTTAACAAATTTAACTTAAAACTATATGGTATAAAACTTTATTACTGTCAGTTTAACAAACACTTAAATGGTAAAATATCATTAAGCTGGAATAATCAGATTTAAACCTGGTTTCACTCTTTAAACAGGACATTTGGTGACTTCAAAATTAAACAGCCGTCAGATTAAAACCAGTTCAAAGCAGAATATTAAACCAATAATAAAAGTCTTTGTATTTTCTGTATTTTCAGACTCTTTGTGGAGAACTTGTCTGTTTTTACAGCTGCTGACCGTCTCTGAAGGCTTGATGAAGACCTGATGTTTGTGTGAGAGGAAATGATTTATTAAATAGGAAACAGATCGAACAGGATGTGAGCGTTTCTCTGACTTCCTGTTCAGACTGGAGAAACTTCTCGTCTCCACCTGTTGTTTGGGTCATGCTGCTGTGAACTCTGAGTTCTGATTCTTCACATCCAAAACCCAAAACCCAGAATCTGTTGAACCCAAAGATGTTTCAACACAGAAACACTTCCTGCTCCAGATTCTGAAGACAAGTTCTGTTCAGAGACGTCTTCAAGGTTCTTTAAGTTCAGCTGTAAAATTCAAATTCAAAAATACTTTATTGATCCCAGAGGGAAATTTGGTCATTATTAAAATCATCAAGACAAACTGATGAACTTTTGGATGTATGGTTGGACGACTAGAAGGTTGGATGAATGGTTGGATGAACAGATGGTTGGATGAATGGTTGGACGAATAGATGGTTGGATGAACAGATGGATGGATGGTTGGATGAACAGATGGTTGGATGAATGGATGGTTAAATAAATGGTTGGATGAACATATGGTTGGATGATTGGTTGGATGAACAGATGGTTGGATGAATGTTTGGACGAATAGATGGTTGGATGAACAGATGGATGGATGGTTGGATGAACAAATGGTTGGATGATTGGATGGTTAAATAAATGGTTGGATGGATGGTTGGATGAATGGTTGGATGAACAGATGGTTGGATTAATAGTTGGATGAACAGATGGTTGGATGAATGGTTGGATGAACAGATGGTTGAACGAATGGTTGGATGAATAGATGGTTGGATGAACAGATGGATGGATGGTTGGATGAATGGATGGTTAAATAAATGGTTGGATGAACAAATGGTTGGATGAATGGTTGGATGAACAGATTGTTGAATGAACAGATGGATGGATGGTTGGATGAACAAATGTTTGGATGATTGGATGGTTAAATAAATGGTTGGATGAATGGTTGGATGAATGGGAAGTTGATGAACAGATGGTTGGATGAATGGTTGGATGAATGGATATTAAATAAATGTTTGGATGAATGTTGGATAAACATGGTTGGATGAATATCGTGATGAATGGTTGAATGAATGGATGGTTGGATGAATGGTTGGATGAATGGATGGTTGGACGAATAGATGGTTGGATGAATATGGTGATGAATGGTTGGATGAATGGATGATTGGATGAATAGACGGTTGGATGAATATGGTGATGAATGTTGGATGAATAGATGGTTGGATGAACAGATGGTTGGATGAACAGATGGTTGGATGAATGTTGGATGAATGGTCGGATGAACAGAACCACTGATCCAGAACCGTTGTAATCAGTCACAGGAAGAACAACATAATCATAATTTGTTCAGTTTTTAAATATTAAAAGATTTTATTTAAATGGAGTCGACTTGTTTCAGGTTCTGGTCCTGCTGAGTCACCCTCAGGACTCAGGATAAACCCAGCGCCGTCATCTGGTCCGGTCCAGATTGTTCTGGGCCATGACCCGTCTCTGCTTTGTTCTCACAGCAGATTAACGGCCGCTGGATTAGGATTAGTTGGACTACCTGTGGACACTTCCAGTCTCTGGGGACAGAGAGGTCAGGAAGTGAGGAGCCTGACCTGGGTCAAAGCAAGGAAGGACAGAGGGACAGGGGGACAGAGGACAGGAAGATGGGACAGAAGGACAGAGGGACAGGGGGACAGAGTACAGAGGACAGGAAGACGGGACAGAGGGACAGAAGGACAGAGGACAGGAAGATGGGACAGAAGGACAGAGGACAGAGGACAGGAAGATGGGACAGAAGGACAGAGGGACAGAGGACAGGAAGACAGGGGACAGAAGGACAGAGGACAGAGGGACAGAGGACAGAAGGACAGAGGGACAGAGGACAGGAAGATGGGACAGAAGGACAGAGGACAGAGGACAGGAAGATGGGACAGAAGGACAGAGGGACAGAGGACAGGAAGACAGGGGACAGAAGGACAGAGGACAGAGGGACAGAGGACAGAAGGACAGAGGGACAGAGGACAGAGGGACAGAGGGCAGAAGGACAGAGGACAGAAGGACAGAGGGACAGTGGGACAGGAAGACAGGGGACAGAGGGACAGGGGGACAGGAAGATGGGACAGAAGGACAGAGGACAGAGGGACAGAGGACAGAGGGACAGAAGGACAGGAAGATGGGACAGAAGGACAGAGGACAGAGGGAC